CCTGGCCCCAGCCCCATGCTGCCCATGGCCCAGCCCCTGGCCTCGGCCCCATGCTGCCCACGGCCCCTGGCCTCGGCCCCGCGCTGCGCACGGCCCCTGGCCTCGGCCCCACACTGCGCACGGCCCCTGGCCTCGGCCCCGCGCTGCTGGCGCCCTGGCCCCAGTATTTACTTTACATACAACAATAGTTTAATTATATATAGAGAGAGACCTTATAACATTAATATGCAGTGTATATACTGCTTTGTACTCCTACCCCCTCTTTTTTTTTTTTTTTTTTTTTTTTTTTTTTCTGATATGCCGGCACTCTGGCACCTTTCAGGGTAGACACTGTAGTTTCTTCAGCACTCCAGCAAAAGAATGTTGCCTACCCCTGGCATAGAACATGCACCCCATGTTGACTCCCTGTATCATGTTCATGGTATGCAGCCAGTCTAGCACTGTGCATCATGTGCTAGACCCTCTAGCCCTGGGGCTTACTGTGCACATGGCTGCTGGGGGCTGACACTGGGTGTGTGCTACCTATGGTACGTGGGCTGGGTCCAGTGCTGCATGCAGCACAGCAAGTTCAGGGCATCGGTTGGAGCGTGGTGCCCCAGACTGACCCCCCTCTCCCTGCCCCCCCCCACTCCATGCTACCTGCAGCACCAAATCCAGCGTATGCGCCATGGGCAGCATGCTCCCCATGCTGGCCTTGGGAGCTGGCATGTGCAAGATGTGGGCAGGACTCAGCACTATGGGTGCTCTGTAGGGGGTGGTTGGTCCTGGTCTGGCCCCCACACCGACTCAGGGACACTCATCCAGTCCACAGGGCCAAATGAATTTGACACGTCTGCTCTAGCTTCGTCATCTGAGTTGTCTGCCTCCAAAATATTCATAGAAACTGCTGACCCAAGAGAGAGAACTTTATATTGCAATACAGAAAGGCAGTCTACCTACATTTTTTCTTTGATTTAGAGTAATAAAATGCTTTGTAATGGTTTATAAGAATATTTTGAAGCCCTAGCTTGGCTCTTTCACAGTTAAGGTGATGACAAAATAGGAAATAAATTATTTAATGCGTACATTAAAATCTGTCATCCAAAGATCTGCTTTCTCAGATTTTGAAATACCAGGTGCTCTCAAGGTTTCCTGTCAATGAGTATAGTTTTCAAAGCCTGCCAAATCAGAATTAATAAACTGCACCCTGGATTCCCCAAGACTAAGCTAATTCCTATTGTATTCTGTTGTGTCAAACATTCCAAAGAGCAGGTAGTTGGTAGACTTGTTATGTCCCCACGTTTCACAGATCTGAAACAGTTGAAGAACATCGTTGTGTTTCAGATCAGTGAGGTTTAGATACGCCATGTGTTAATACATAGCTGATCAGCTGTTAACACAATGTACAATCCCCTTTGTTTATTCAGTAGAAAATACATCCTGTTTTTTATGTTTTTTAGGAGAAAAATGGTTATATGGCTGTTGGTTTTATCGGCCAAATGAAACGTTCCATCTTGCAACACGAAAATTTCTGGAAAAAGAAGTTTTTAAGAGTGACTATTATAATAAAGTTCCTGTTAGCAAGATTTTAGGAAAATGTGTGGTCATGTTTGTTAAGGTAACATATTAAATTGACTAAAATGTAATGCAAAACAAGTAATTAGTTTAACAAATTAAACTAAGACTCAAGGATAGTAACAGAACCTATATAAAATTAATATTTTTCGTTTGGTGGTATTTTTCCGTATTTTACATTGTAGTTAATCCACAGTACAGAGAAAGAGACAAATTTGTACTCTTTTTAGTATGAGTTTTTCTATAGAAATCATGTTCATGTATGCATTAAATCATTATTAAGTTGCTCGCTTCTTTTTTTTCCCCCCCAGTAAGGATGGTAGGGAAATCCCAGGTACACTCTCAATATATTTTCCTCAAATATTAGTTTTTGTTAGGAGGTGGATTGGATGCCTCAGGGGTATGGCAATGAATATATAATCTTTCATTTCTACATCACCCATTAGATTCCACCAATATGGGTTGTACTGAAGATCCTTATAATTATGAATGCTTTTTTGTGTAAAATGAACCAGCTCTCTTGGGCTAGACTTTTATGGGCATTGTGTTGATGTAACAAGCACATCTTTAACCATGTTGGGTGTTAATTAATATCCTTGTGTTATCACCAAAGATTTAATGGGGGTGGAATTTATATTTCTTTCTCAAAGTAATGGTAGTCTCATCTGCTCAGAGCTTAGGTACCTTGCAAGGCAGAGTTGCAGTACATGCATGCCTGTAATTTTAATTTTACCTATTTTTATAGATAAATATACTATAACTCTCTGGGCTGATAATTTGGTAACTTGAATTATTTGTAAGACACTTAAAGTTTTTTCACATTTTTAATTTTAGTAACTCAGATATCAAACCAAAAGAAAGAAACTCAGTGCAAAGGTTGTAGCAACCTCATGGGATACTGTTTTCAGCAAGTGCAAGCAAAAAGCATAGAGTTGGTGGTTTAAATTCTGTGTGGGGGAATGTTGCTAAAATATGTGATCTAAAATGATCTCTTCTCTTCATTCCACAGGAGTATTTTAAATTATGTCCAGAAACCTTTAGAGATGAAGATGTCTATGTCTGTGAGTCACGTTATTCTGCAAAGACAAAGTCTTTTAAAAAGATTAAATTGTGGACTATGCCCATTAGCTCTGTAAGGTTTATCCCACGAGATGTACCTCTGCCTGTGGTCCGTGTTGCTTCTGTATTTGCTAATACAGACAAAGTGGATGAAGAAAAACACGGTGAAAATTTAGAGGATAATAAAGTAGGAGATGGTATCCTTCATCTTGAAAAGGTATGTGGAGAATAAGCTCAATATTGAATGAAAGAGGATTTGGGATCAGAAAAGATGAAAATATAGAAATTCATAATCTGGATTTTCACAGCCTCTAAAAAGCTAAAGAAATAAGAACAAATTGTTAGATTTGATGCTTGTGTTTTAAAAAATAAAATGTGTGTACATGCATTTTCCATAAAAATAATTGAAATCTTAATTCAACTAAGTATTAGCCTCGATTTATTCCTTGAAGTTATTAGCTGACCACTGACCCTTTTTAAACCTGTCATGCACAAGTTTTATAAAATGTGAAGATCTTAGATTAACCTCCTTCAGTCATTGTCATTTAGATCAAGGTGTCCAACTAGCAGGTTGTCCAACTCCCGCTCCCATGAGGGATTAATGTACAGCCCCTGGGCTTTCACCTGGATGCTGCCTCCTGCGCCCCCCTTTCCTCCGCTCCCCAGCCATCACTCCAGCTGCAATAGCAGTCAGTCTTCAGGCTCACTCTCCCTCCTCCTTCTCCCTTCTTCAACTTTCTCCCTTTGTCCCGAGATTGTTGAGGGTGAATCTGGGACTGCACCCCAGTGGTCAGGAGGAATCAGGGCCATGGGCCAGAGAACTGTGCCTATGGGGTGGGGTAGGGGGTTACCCCATGAGTGCAGAGTGCAGCAGTGGTAAGAGGTGCTGTGCTGTGCATCTGATGTGGCCTGTGCAGCCCTTAAGACATGTAGCCCCTAGGATTTATGTTTATTTTATGTGCCTGATGCACGTTTTAAAGGTCATATAATTTCAAACTAAAATAGGCACTATCTGATTACTGTCAGCCCCAAACAGACCTCCAAAAAAGACGCTAGAGGCCTATGTTCTGATTTGCCTTTAGCCCATGATAAAATATTTTATTAAAAATCTGAACATTTAAGCAGGTGCTCATGTTGAGCATCTACTGTGAGCTGAACAATCCTCAGTTGACATTTTAGTGGATCATGACATGAATCTTTCATACAGGTTCCAGGATTAAATAGGGCAAACTATGAAATTTATAATACACTGAATGATGATATTTTTGTATTGAAGGCATGATTGTCTTTACCAATAATACCTGATTACTTACCATATGATGTTATGCTTAAAAAAAAAACAAAAAACTTAGATGCATTGTAGTTTTGCTATACTAGTTAAAAACTTTTCTATCGATAAACCAACAAAATGGCTCTGGATTACCATCCTGAAAAGCGTCATCTTTTAAAAAAATTATAAGGTGAAGAACTTGAACTGAGAGCAGTATTGGTCTTACCTTTTAGTTTTCAGAATTCAGGGCTTAATGTGTGTGTTTATACATGTTTAATTTTACATTTATTATCAGTTTAAAAAAATACATTGAATAAAGTGTGTTTCACTTTTGCTACCCCCAGCTCCTTTTTACTTTACTAGTTTTTAAATGCATGCTTTTATGTAGGAGAAAGAAGATGTTCCAGTGGAAATGTCAAATGGAGAACCTGGTTGCCACTACTTTGAACAGCTCTGTTATAATGATATGTGGCTTAAGGTTGGCGATTGTGTCTTTATAAAATCACATGGCTTGGTGCGGCCTCGGGTGGGAAGGTATGTATATTTTCTCTTGTATTTTAAAAATGGTGGTGAAAAATTTGTTAATGAAGAAAACTATTATGTCTACTTTTATAGATTCCAAAGAACAGGGAAACATGAACCAACTTATTCTTGTGCTACCTATCCTCAGTCACAAAATAATTAGTTCAATGTCAAACTATTGTTTGGTTAGCACAGTCTGCTGTAAGCTTCAAATAGAGCCAGTAGTGACAAATATGCAATGATAATAAATGACAAAAAATGAGAATTATTTATGTTGACCAAGTTAGCTCTTTTACTTCTTTTAATCATTCTCTTTTAATAGCTTTTCATAACAACCTATTGTGTGCAGTTATTTTATTTAGAACACAAGTGTGTTTACTTCTCTATCAATTACTTGTCTATCCTTTTAGAATTGAAAAGATGTGGGTACGGGATGGAGCTGCATATTTTTTTGGTCCAATCTTCATACATCCCGAAGAAACTGAACATGAACCAACTAAAATGTTCTACAAGAAGGAAGTGTTTTTGAGTAACCTAGAAGAGACCTGTCCTATGACATGCATCCTGGGTAGTTATTTACAATTTGAAGTCCAGTTGATTAACTTTTTTCCTAACTCTTACATTTTAAAATGAGAGAGAACAATAGCTGTGTGGCCTTGTTTTTAGGATGGGAAAGAAAGTTATCCAAATTCATTGTTGTGTACTACATGGCTGACCATCTTTAATGCTTTCTGAAAGACCCTTTCCTTTTATAAAGCTTTCCCACTATTGCACGTTACTTTTACTCTAACACCCATCCACCATAACCAGAAATCAAAGAATTCTGTGAAATCCACAGACATGTCATTCCAGTCTAATTTATCAGATAAGACTTGGCTGTACTAAAAGGTAGTTGGAACTGAATACTTTAAAAACCAAATTGTACTTTTTTTACTCGTGGTACCTTATTTTTGCTTTTCAGCATTTGGGATGTCACATTAAATTAAGTTGAAAAATGAATGATTTAAACATCATGACAGTATAGAACTTGTGAGATTATCTACTCACTTCTATACTTTCTAATGTTTAGATTTTTTTTAAAATATGTGTTTTGCTGTTTGGGGGTAAGAAATGTTTTTCAATGAAAACTGTCCTTTTTGGCAAGGTGGGAGTGAAGAGTTCTTTTGTTTTTTTTACAAATGTTCATGTCTATCTCACATTAAAAAAAACTTGGTTGGGTTAATTTGGTAGGAATCCATTTTCTGATAGACTGTGAGCAATGGATAATTAATCGGCATAATTTGTTGAGTATAATAAAGCACTATGTTTTGTGAAAAACTTTGTTGGAGTTATGAATACAGGACACTTGCTTATCAGTTTCTTTTTATCTTTGTAGGAAAGTGTGCTGTGTTATCTTTTAAGGACTTCCTTTCCTGTCGACCAACAGAGATCTCTGAAAATGATGTTTTTCTTTGTGAGAGTCGCTATAATGAGAGTGACAAGCAGATGAAGAAATTTAAAGGGCTTAAGAGGTTTTCGCTTTCTGCAAAAGTAGTAGATGATGAAATTTACTATTTTAGGTAAAATATGACAGGGGTTACATTCTATTTTTCTGTAAAATAAAAAAAATATAACTGCAATAGAATATCAAATCAGACCAATTACAAATACTTAAAACCTGCGTGGAAAAAACCCAGGTGGCCTCAACTTCTACCTCCCATTTCACTTTTTTCATATCCATGGATATCTAGTTTTCACACCAGGCTTTTAAAAAAGCTGTTATGCTCTCAAGTGGACAGTCCTTTTGGCATAATCGTAAATAACAAAGGGTCACCTGTCATGCTTAGGCTCTCAGAGATGATAGCTAATTGCCCCCATATTGATAGATGTTAATAATAAGTATATTCTCTGGTGTAACTGATTCCCAAGAAAAATGCTAACAAAATACCTGTTTTAAAATTTCTAATGCTAAACAAATGCTTACCTTAATAAAGATTATGCAGAAACAAGTCTTCCGTTCTTAAATCCTTTTCATCCTAATCTACAAGTAAAAATAAGAGCCTTCCATCCATAAAACTAAATTGAACAAAGTGGCTTGACTGTCGCATCAGATATATGAGCATTTTCTGCTGAACACTGACTATGAAAACACTGAAAAGTGGGAGGTCTTTAGCCATCGTTATTTCCATACTGCATCATGGGATAGGAAATAATTTCTGTCCTGATAATATTTTTCTTAACAGTCTCTTAGAAAAGTGTCCATATGATTCCAGATAGCCTAGAATGCCCCTGTTCTATTGCAAATAAAAAAACAAAATACAGGCAGTCCTCAGACTTACAACACAATTGGTTCCTGAAAACCGTGTCTTAAGTCAAAACGTTGCAACTCGGAACCAATTTTCCCATAGGAAGCAATGTTATAAATGGGGGATTGGTTCCTGAACCAAGGCTCAATACCCTGTTTTCACCAAAAATAACCAAAAGGTTTGTACTCAATCAATTATAGATGTGTAATATAGCTACATTTAATGTATTTATACTGTAAATAACAATCATATTGATTTGGAAGGACTTCTTTGAGGTGACTTTGCTGGACTTTTTGAAGGGCTCTTGGTTGGACTTTTTGAAGGGTTCTTGGCTGGAGTCTTCTCAGGAGTCTTGGCTGCAGGTTTTTCTGGAGTCTTGAACTTGTTCACTAGTGTGGCATCGCATCAGATCAAGCGTAAAGTTGAAACTGACGTCATAAATTTGAAACAGGGTGTCAATTTATAAATGTTGTAAATGCGAAACGTAACTCAAAATGTAAATCGAGGACTCCCTGTAATAGCTAGTGTTTTGATGTAGTAAAGACAGGATATTTAAAGTGTAACCACACTGACTTGCTACTTGGAGGGGTGGATGGAACCAAAATGGGACTGTTACAGTGTTCTTGGGTTCCATGTTATATCAGTTTTGCATATGTATTATGTGGCTTGTCTCCAAATAAGGGTTAAAAATGGCTTCTCATGCAGGCAAAGATGTAATTGTAATCTCTCTATTCTCCTCTCAGAAAACCCATAGTTCCACAGAAGGAGCCATCTCCACTACTGGAGAGAAAGATTCAGCAGCTAGAAGCAAAATTTGCTGAGTTGGAAGGGGGTGATGAGGATATTGAAGAGATGGGAGATGAAGAAGGTGACATCTCTGAAGCACCTTCTATGCCTCAACTTCAGACTCCACTGGCTAGTGAATTGGATATAATGCCATACACTCCACCACAGGTAAAGATGCACTTGCAAAATTTTATAATATGCCATTCCGTATTCTCCCTTCCTCCCCTAACAAAACAATCAAGAAAACAAAAATAAACATTCATGGAATTATACTATAGTTTAGCTCAACAGTCAATGAGATGATTATTAAAAACACTTTTAGACTATAAAATGTTACCTATCACAGTAGTTTTTTTGACACAGTGGAATATTTTCAGAAGTGATTAGTAATTTGGGGATGGGGGAGTATTTTTTTTTTTTCCCCTGCTCAATTTGATACATTTTCAGAAAATGTTGATCACTACCTCCTTGGAAATAAACAAGAATTTTAAATTCACTCAAATTGGACACTAAAAATCAATAGTCATTTTTCAAAATTTAGGTTGTTAGGTTTTAATTTTAATTTGCATGCATGTCTGGTGCCTCTTGAGTCGGGGGCACGTGCCCCCCCCCAGACACCAGTCAGTGACCTGGGGGGAGTGTATGGTGTCATAGCCTGTTCCTGTGATCTCCCTCTAAAGCATCCACTCCTGCCATTGTTGGAGACAGGCTACTGGGCTAGATGGACCATTGTTCTGACCCAGTATGTCAGTTCTTATAAGCTGGAGGAAAAGATGTGGCTTGTAAATTGAGTCATCTGTCACTGGATAATGTAAAATTCAATTCTGATTTATTTGTTCCTAAAACTTCTGTAAGATAGTCAGGGCATTTGATACATACTAAAGTTATGTCAATCATCGTACTTTTCAGTCTTGAATTTGCTAGGTTTTGCTTTTTTTTCCTTTTTTTTTTTTTTTTTTTTTTTAGGGCTGTCAGTCACAGTTAATTTACACTGTTAATGCAAAAACAAATAAACGCTTTATTTTGTTAATTGCATTAATCGTGCACATCATTTTGACCAGTGGAGCAGACCAACGCCAGACCAGCCATGTGCACAGCCCTGCCCCCGCCCACCCCGTGCCTGTTCCAGACATACCTGCCAATGCTGAGCCGTGGCAGCAGCTGGGCAGAAGCTGCTACTCGGCACAGGGAAAAGAGGCCTGTCGTCTTCACCACTATCAGGGCCGCCTTGCTGCAGCTGCCCAGAGCCCGCACCTGGGCTGTCCTGTGGCTCCTCTCTGCTGCTGTCACTGCCACCTCCGGGCTGCCCAGTGGGGAAGTGGTGTCAGTGCAGAGTAGACACAGGCCAGCCCAGTCATAGGCTCCCCGCGGCTGCAGCAAGAAAGGCCCAGCAGTGGTGAGGGGGAGGGGCTGCTTTTCCTCCACATTGAGCAGCCGCTTCTGCTTGGCCACTGCTGCTGATCAGCTTGGGCAGGTGAGTCTGGAGTAGGCATGGGGCGAGCCATAGTTGGGGCTATCCACACGGGTTCTGGCTGGTCCACTCTGGCCGGGGTGAGTCTGGAGTGGGCACAGGGCAGACCGGGGTCCAAGCTGGGGCTGTGTGCTGTTAGTAGTGGTAGGGAGGAGCTGCAGGGTGCACAGGCTGCAGGCTGTTGGGTAGTGAGGTGCTGACTATTGTTTAACTGTGATTAAAATTGCGATTAATTGCAAATATTTTTTGAAATCTCACAATAGCGATTTAATTTTTTTAATCATTTGTCCCTTTGATTTTTTTTTTAAATCTTAACGCTAGTCAATGTGAAAGCTGCTTCTCAGCACTACAGAAAGATTATTAGTGGTTAGTAGCTTATAAATGTAAGTATAAAATTTGAAGGACGCAATAGGAAATTGAGCTAACTTGTGCTATCCAACTTCGGTGTGGCTGGGAGTCACACACCATAAAGGCCATACTCAGCGGGAGTAAGCTTCCAGAATCTTGCTACTCCTGCAGCCATGGGCTGCACAAGTAGTGTGCAGCCACCTGCCCTCCACTTCATGGGCAGTGCCAGCAGTGCATGGCCCTCCCTAGGCCCTCTTTCCTGCTGTGCAGCGATGTGAGATGAGTGCAGAGACCCATGGGCCGCATACTAACTGCTCACAGGCTGCCTGTTGCACAGCCCTGGTCTAAAGTAATAGAAAAATTATTTCTCTGAACCCAACATGTGAATATTATCAAGATCTTGGCAACAGCAGAAAGTAGTTCAAACAGATACTGAGGTATTTAGCTTGCTGGGGATAAAATGGAACTCAGCTGAGGCAAAGCCACTCCTGCATCCCCCTGGAGCAGCCCCAAAAATGCCCTGAAATCTGGGAGCACTAACATACCTTCCTTCTCTGAGTCATGTGGCTTTTGATAGAGAAACTGTGGGGCAGAGCTGAAATGGCAGGCACTGCAGCTGCAGAAGACAGTTCAAGTAGGGATTTGCAGAAACTAATGACGTTCTCAAACTTTATTCAGTTTTCACTCTGAGCATACTCTGCCCTCCTTTGCAACTTTGTGTTTAGCTAATCTCCACCTACCATAATTCTGCCGAAAGGAGGTAAATAATGAAATTTTAAGAGATGTTTGGAAAAGTAGTACAGTGATTAGTCAGTACCGGAGACAATGGAAAGGAAAAGACCAAGTTTGGTAAGAACATTACATCCTAATTTTGCCTTCAGTGTAGCAGAGATGAACAATTTACATAAATTAAACTGTCCATCCTGTTATATTAACCTATAGTTGAATTTAAGCATACACATTCATATTTTTTTTAATTGAAGGAAGAATTACATTTTAAGGAAAAGCAAAAGGAATCCATATTAATTTTAATGTATTCCGATTGATTAAACATGATGATAATCTCATGGTTTATAAGCACTTTCAGAGGGTGCAGAGGTACTGCTTGTGTCTGAAAAGTAAATTACAGAATATTTTATCTGATTTGGTTTTGAGGGCATTATCTAGACCTCACTGAAAAATAATTAACATGTAGCATAGTTCCAAATCTACAGAGACATTCTTTCATAATTAACTTCACCCCCGTAATTAGTTCATTGGAAAAAGGATGTATATCTCATTCAAATGTGAAGGAAATTTACAGGAAACTATATTTGGGTATATTTATGCCCACCTGCCTTAAGCATGCTGAATTGTGCACATTAGGATTCCACTCAAAACATAGAAAGCATTATATATAATAAGGAAAGAAATCTATAGACAGGCAGTAAACTAATCAAGATAACCGAAAGTGGTGTTAGAGTGTCTCGACAAATTGAAAAGGGAGGTTACTGTACCTTTTTTTTCAATTTTAGTGAAAGTCTGGCTTGATCAAATTAAGAGCAAAGAGCTAGAGACATAAAACAAAGATACAGATGGAAAAATGTTGAGTAGCAAATGCAACTGATCTGCAATAGGGGTCAGTCATATTGGCTTTAATAGGAAGAAAAGGCTGAAAAATTAATACTGATATTTAATCATTAGCTTATTTCTTCTCACTTGAAGGTGTAGTTTTCTGACAAAAATCTGTGACAGAAGGATTTAGTTACATTGTTGTATTCAAAGGGATGAAAATTATGGATATGAAAACATGGAAGTTGGGTATATTGAATCTTGAAGGTTATTGTAATGTTATGAAAGTTCTCCAGTCCTTTTCAAATGGATGGATATCAATTGAAAGAGTTTTTAATGTCGTTTGGACTGATTGATTGAAACTTCATAATAATTTGGGTGCAGAAAAAGCAAGCAAGCTAAAGGGTGTAATTATCTCAGTACACGCACACAAAAGTGTTTGGCGTCAAGAGAAGAATTTATTGTTGGGCTTACTTTGTACATTCACTAAATTGGCAACTTGGCTTTAAATGACATGGGACTTGTTGATGTTTGAAGAGCCCAAGTAAACAATATGTGTTTCATTTTTAAAAATCTGCTTAGTAGGGTCTGTTTTACTTTTTTTAAGGAGAAAAATGTTCTTTTTAGAGTTACAGGAAAATAACTGTAGTCTGCAAGTCAAAAGGGAATACAGCAGGATGCAAATGATAGCACAGCAATACTTGTGTGTTTTTATATTGACTGAGCTAGTTAATAGTCAGTAGTATTCTTTAAGAAATCCAAGATGTAGAAAAATGAGGTTTGTTCTTTTATCTTATGTTTTTGGCTTTCCTAATTGGCTTGCTTGGTCACAGGGCATGGTTTAGAAAGTCTTCTTGCTCAGTCTGGAATGATGTTGGCTAATGCCACACACTTTTTGTTCTCTCACACAGAATCTTCCCACATTTCAATTATGAGGTCAGTCTTGTGTATGGAAAGGCTAAAAGCCAATGGAATGTATTTTTTCTATATCTTACACACGTGTATTTCTCATAAAGTGATCACTCTTTGTGAGACCCAGCCTCTCTTTACATGCTGCAAGGAAAAACAGCTGTTGAACAAATATTCTTGAAACCCAGTAGTCATATGAAGGTTTTTTAGTTATGCTTTATACAACTAAGGCTTTTGTGCCTTGAAGTTCTGGTTGTACACTTGTGGTCATAATCACTTTTTCTCACAGTCCACTCCCAAGTCTGTTAAAGGAAGTGCCAAGAAGGAGGGATCGAAAAGGAAGATCAACATGAGTGGTTACATCCTATTTAGCAGTGAGATGAGAGCTGTGATTAAAGCTCAGCACCCAGATTACTCTTTTGGAGAGCTCAGCAGGCTCGTAGGAACTGAATGGAGAAACTTGGAAGCAACCAAGAAAGCAGAATATGAAGGTAAATGAGAAATGATATATACTCTTTCCTGATTACTTTTTTCCTTTCCAAAGAGATTCAGTAATTTTATTCAAATAACAGGTTTCACTATTAAAGGAAGATGACTTCTTTGTAACAATTTCTGTGCAAATATTTAAATAGATGTTTATATTAAGGAATATTCACAATGAAATTGAACATGCATCTAATTATGTAGTACAATATATGAATGTGTTAATTGAGAAATGTGTTGCAAATAAATTTCAGTTTTACCCAGACAAACAAAACGGAAACAATTCAGGAGTAAGTGGGCATGAAGATAATTGATGAGATGGGAGGAAGCCTGTATAGAAAGATGGGAAGAAAGAAGGCCATATAACTATGTGGACCAGAAGTAGGAAACTGTTCAGAGTATAGGGAAGGAAGTAAAAAGGCATAAAATAGTACATGTAACAAAGGAGTCCTTTGACTAATTTAAATAAGGCTAATGCAAAATTTCATCAAAATAAGAGTAGTAGAATAAAAATATAGGATACAGAATCCATTATACTGCTTGGGAAATAGTCATTTGACTCTCAGCATTAGCCACTAGTTGTAATTGATTTTTGGATTGATATATTCTATACCCTTGAACTCAGAAAATGCTCCAAAAGACACATTTCTTCTTTCTTTTGTTTCTTTCTTCCCTTCTTACCCAACATTGACCATATGTCTTGACTTTTGGTCAAATTCATGTAATGTGCTGCAAGAAATTTCCACCTGGGTGCAGATAAATCTTCACTTGGAACTGCTCTGTTGAAACTCACTGTTGCTGCTATAGTTGATCATTTCAGCCTTTCCATTATAAAGCTTAGTTTTCAGAGTATTATTGCACTGTTTTTAATACAATACATAACTTGGAAAGGTTTCAGCCCTAGAAAAAATACTACTTGACTATTTAAGTTATGTTTGCTATCTTTTGAATAGTGTTTTTTTTCTGTTATTTTTTTTGTTGGTTGGTTTTGTTTGTGTTTGACTTTTGGTGACTCTTTTGCATGCTCATAATTTAAAAGCGGCTTTGGTTTTCATACTGGAAGTTTGCATGTTGTCACTATCCGTCCTCCTTGGATTGGTAATAATGCCTTTTTGCAATGTTAGAGGGTAACAAGGCTCCACTTGTCAGCTACAGATTTTCTGTTGCAAACTACATAAAGGAAATGATAATGCTGTGTTTGTGAAAGTACCAAAAGTGATTTTTTTCCCCCTTCTTATATTGTAGTTTGTGTATACATCACTATCCATTTGCATGGCATGATTAATGTCAGGTTTTTCCTTATGTCCTACCTCTGGAGAACAGTAGGATAGCTAGTGCATATTTAAAACCTTCTGGAGAAGATTGTTTGAGTTAGTTGTTTTTCCAGTGGAATATGCTAGTGCAGAGGTTCTCAAACTCTGGCCCGTGGACCACTGCTGGTCTGCGAGCTCCGTTCAGGTGGTCCGCAGAAAGGTTGCGGAATAATCGAAAATATCTGTACTCATAAGGTAAGACTACTGGTATTAAAATATGAGTTGTGTGCTTTGATTTGTAGAACAAAAAAAAAGTTTAAGTGGTCTGCCGAGACCCTCGGGAATTTTTCAAGAGGCCCGCGGGAAAAAAAGTTTGAGAACCACTGTGCTAGTGTATCATAGTGGTAGCAGCAGTGTCCATCCAAGTTTGCCTAAGTGCTTCCATTTTAATTCTTTCCCCTCTTCCCCTCCTCCCCCCCGCCCCCCCCTCAGGGACTCTCCTAAACACCCACATAAACTTGCTTATAACTTCATAGAGCTTTCAGTTTTCAGGCTGAAATTTATTAGGCTTGGTCTGCCCTTGGCTTGCGTCTCCCCCCCATATTTTGAGGGGAGGTGGGGATTGGGCTTGGAGCTCAGGGCACACCTGAAATGTATTTTATGCGGGAGTGTGGGAGCTATAATGTGAAAATAACATTTATGGTCTAGTGTGGACATTACAGTGGAGAGTAGGAAGTTGAAATATGGCGTAATTTGAGACCTCAGTGAGAAGTGTCTTTCAGTATTCTGGTGAAAATTGGTTTTGGTTTTGCTGAATTTGACCCTCTGAAAATTTTGCATTTTGAACATGTGCAATATGTAATACAATTTTAACAATATTCAAGCAAAAATAGACTGCATTGCACATGCACCCTTGGTTAGCTTAGATATATTATAAAGACTAATAAATATGTACAACAAATGAGGCAAGTTTCCATTATAAGAAAAAGCTAAGTTCAGAGCAGAGAGACTACATCCTACTTTGTTAAGCATGTTGGATAGATCATTCCAATGATTTAAAAGCCTAGTCTAAAGGATTTAGGATTGGATTCACTATTTATTAAGGTGAATTCTCTAAACTGAATTCTAAGTTTGCCCACCATTATTGCACTGCTCTTGCAATCAATGTTTTCAGTTTCATCTGGGAGGTCTGCACCACTTGTGACATCAACAGACAGATTGTAGGCTAGAGTTATTGCTGAAGTATTGCTTTATATTAGCTGGATCACCGTCTTACTCTGAGGCTCAGCATTCCAAAGTGTGGTCTGCAGAGTGTCTTAAGAGGCTTTTTCTTTTCTGACTGTTTTTTAACTGGCCAAACCTAAAGGAGAAATCGCAACAGCTTCTCCTATTTTCTTCCCTAAGTACTTGCTTTACTCTGAAGAGTGAAGTGTTCTCTTTCCTACTTCAGGAATTCCCTTCAACTGTTTTGTGGCTTCTGTGCTCAGTCACATAGGGTGCCTATATTAAATTTAGAAGTTGCAGTGCGCCGTCATCCCCTTCCTGATGGTGAAAACAAGGAAGGAAATGCCTAAAAGGATGAAACTGGTCTTTCACTGTGCTATTCTGAGGTTGCACAAATTGATGAGAGATAATTATATCATAGACTTTTGGAATTCTGTGCTGGTAAAAGCAAATATTTAGCATCTTATTTAATTCCATTTCTGAACTTCTTGATCTCATTTAATAGAGAGCCTTTATTCCTTTTTAGTAATAATTTTCATCTTTTGCCAAATCAAGAAAATGTTTAGGTCTGTATTCTCTGTTAAAATCAATAAAAGCATATGCTACATTCTTTTATTCTCCGTTGCTTCTCATTGCTTCAGTAGGATATAACACTCAGAGAACAAATCAGTAAGATGCATGCAGAAAATATCACCTTGAGTGGATGTTTGGAATACCCCTTTTTCCCACATCAAATTTTCTTCAGGTCATATTCCTGTCCGGTAGAGCTTTTATTCTTACAGTAGCAGTGAGAAAACTTGATGTAGATATTAATCAGATGCACAATACTAAAGACACACATGCTTCCACAGAGCAGCACAATTTGAGTTAGACATCTGTCAATAAAAATTTAAAAAGCAGTAACTGTATGGGTACCAAAATGGGGATAGAAGAAAAATGAGAGGCAGAGGAAGTATTTTTTGATCCATCAAACTGCTGCTTGTTATGTTCTAAACACTAAGGACCTGTCTACACTGGGGACATTTTGCAAATATTTCCCACCTTTGCCACTGCTGTTTCAGCTTCACCATTAGTAGCAATTTTGGGAGCCCTAGCATAAATGGACCACTGCCATTTGTATTTTAAATGCTTATCTTACTTTGGACAAGTGTAACTGTTGCAGAGCTGAAACTGTGAGCAGCAGGTGTCACACACACTCAAAAGGTCCCAATATTGCTACCATTGGTCTGGGAGAACCAGTGGTATCAAAAGTGGGAACATTTTGCAAAGTTTTCTTAGCGTGGACTAGGCCTAGTGCTGGACTGCTGCTATCATGTTGGTAACACTGGTTTTATGATCAAATCTGTTCTTTGACTTTAAAAAAATAATTAAACAAAACTTCACATTAAAACTTTGTGGAATATTTTTCATGATAGGTTCTCTAAAAGTCTTAGCTGGAGCCAAATGAAATCAAATTTTATGCTGTATAAGAAAAATAATCTGTTCTATTTATATTAGACTAAACTATGCCAGTGTTTTACTAGTCCTTTTTAATGAACAGATAATATTTTGAAATTCTGGGTTACAAAACAGAACTGAAAATCTAAAATGCTTTTACAGAGCGGGCAGCTAAAGTTGCTGAGCAGCAGGAGAGAGAGCGAGCAGCACAGCAACAGCAGCAGAATTCCTCCCCCCGGGCAGGCACTCCTGTCGGGGCTCTTATGGGGGTGGTGCCGCCACCAACACCAATGGGAATGCTCAATCAGCAGTTGACACCTGTTGCAGGTAAAAAAGTAGGAGCTATGACCATTTTTTCCTCATCCACTTTATCAAACCCCTTCATAACTCTGAACA